TGATGACTATATCATCAAGTAATTGATATAGTTGAGATGATTTTCCGCAGACCATATATACCTAATCGGAGTCATACAATCGAGCTTCCTCGCACTTGATTCCTCAGTGGTTAGGCTAAGCATTCATCGCGCGACGGAATCCGCGCGATTGCGGCGTGTCCAGCCGGCTCCCGAGGGACAGTCTGCGAGAGTTGGGAACTCCCGCGAATTTTCGGAAAACATCCCGCGATGGATAGCCAGATAGTGATCCCACTCATAAGTGACCTTTCGTCGGCTGCATGCTGCATCCAACCCGCGGCGGTACTTCGACGAATCGATAGTGCAGTCGATTAAGTACTATTGTTGCTTTTCCACGCACCCATCCAGATCTAGAGTCGCCGGAATCGAGTAGTCCATCATACGCGGGAGGCGTGATCTCGGATTGAATGGCTTTCGATTCATTCGAAACGCTCCATGTTTCGAGTCAGACGACTTTCCCAGAGAATTTTCAAGCATTGACCAGAACTTCAGCGCCTCGCGGTCAAGTCGCAAGATGCTCCCTCTCCACCACGGGGGGATCAGCGACGGAGTATTCGGTCAAGGAGGTTCGTCGTCTTCGATTCGTCCGTATCTTTGATTGCACTCTGTGGAGCCATAACTTTCGACTGATCCTCTGAAGGGTGTTCAGAGGATGTAAGATGGGGTACGGGCCTCAGCTCTCGAGAGTTTCAGCGGGTGGCCGAAAACTATAATTCGCCGGCAGCGCACGAATCCTCATCTTCATCATCTTGTAAATTGAGATGCCCGATTTCCCTTCAGAACATTTTTCAGGAATAGCTCATCACTTGCTCTCGTTAGGCAATGCCTCGATTCTGGCTTCGCGTTCGGGCTCGAGGGGAATGACGGGACTCGCGAGACCCTCGCTGCGGTCGAGTGGAGCCGGCGATTTATTTTAGGCTCCGTTTCTCACCGGACTCAGTTTCTGCGGAAAGGTAGCGTAATCAACGACTAGACTCTCATCCATCTCCGGGTCCTCTCTCAATCGGAATCTGATCGCCGAAGGAGATCTTCAAGCCACTGGATCAGGCTCTCCGATGCGTGCATCTCCTACTCCGGATAGATGAGTCGCGCGAAAATATCTCAGTAGAGTCTCGGGGAAAAACATGCCTATAGATAGTCGAAGTAGCCCTTGTCCGGACGTTCTGCGTGGTTGCAGCACGGGGGAGTAAACCACCGAATTCGTGATCAATGGACCATGTTTTCGATAGCATGCCATGTTCTAGCATCAGCTACTCGAATCGCACTGGCTTGGCTGGTCATACAACAAGCAATGTTTCGCTGAGAGCTCAGCTCCATCCCTCATTAGGGCCGTAAAAAGCCTCGTAAATCTCGCGGCGCCTATTTCCCGACCCCATGTAACAGTAGCTCACCTATGTTCGAGCCCATGGTGTCCATCTGTTCCATTTTTATCGCCTGAGCTGAGTGCTATCCATTAGCAGGGGCTTCTCGAGCACCTCTCTGAATTTCGGCATGCCCAGGAAATATCGGAGCCGCTGAAAGGCCGAGGATGATTGGGAGCTCGGCTATCTTCCGTCTGGAATTTGAAGTCGGAGATTGGATTCATCGCCTGCGATCGCCCTTGGTCAGACAACGATCGCCAAGATCGGGACGAATCCCGTCCCGCGGTTTCACACACTCTGCAAGGAGGGCGAGATCCATGCCGATCGGGTGCGCGTCGCCGAGTCTGTCTTGTCTGAGAGCTCAGGAAACGATTCTCGGAAACTTCTCACCCTTGCCTTCCTGACTTCATGCTCGAGAGGAGATCGTTGGTCACCGAGAGATGAACTTTACATTTTTGCTTGTGCCTTCGGCTGTCTTCGCGTTGGTCTGCGCGAGTGTTTCCAATTCTCGATCCAAGTCACGTTCGACTACGAATCGAATTCTAGCTGAGATCCAGATACAAAAGCTATAGACGGATTTCCCAATCGGCGAAAGGTCGGGAGTTTGAAGAAGATCCGGATCCTCTCATACAGCTGCGCCATCAAGTACGTCATGAGAACTACTTGAGAGCTCCGAACAGCGTCGTTCAGCCATTGCTCTTGTCTCTCGGATGGATCTTATGAGAGAGCCCATACGTGACTTTCATATTATTTGGACTTATTTCCGAAGGTCGCCCGTCAATTCTTCAATCATCCGGTTAACCCTCCTCCGAAGAGCTTCGAATGACGACGTATCCCTAATCGCCGACCGGAACCGAACACTGTCGCCTCAGGAATCCTTATCTATCTTCCTGGTTCCGTTGTTGGCGAGGGTCAGTGGCTATCGAAGACAAAATGAGGAGCCCGACAAAATTTCGTAGCGATCGTCCGTTGCGGAATCGAGTGGCCCCTTTGCGTGCTCGATCCTGAGGATTCTCCGCAATGCCACACCGATCCGGAAGATCGATCCCTGTCGGAAGCCTTCCAATTCCATCGTGGAGCCGGTCGAATCGTATTGAGCGCAGACGGGTTCCTGCGAGCGCTCGCTGAGAACGCAGGAGTGGTGATCCGTGAAAAATGCTCAAAAAATCACGCAGTGGAGTCAATCCGACGCAATGGAAACGTGTCGGCTCATTTTCACTCTCTCGGCAATCTCAATCTGGTCCTCACGTTTCCGTGATGACTGATGACTGATGAAAATCTCCCGACGGTATAACATGCTCGAAAAACAACACCGGAAGTTTCTTCCTTGTTATGTAACGCGCATGCGGCGGTCCTCTGTGTGAGATACACAGCATCACATTACGCAAACTGGGGCGCGATTGGTCTCCATACGTTCCAAGAGACTCCCATGGCCAAGCGACGGCGATGCAACATCCAAAAAAGCTTCCTTCGCGATCGCGGACAGCCACTTCCCCGGTTCCCCGCCAGAATAAGGAGTCTGCTAACGTGACCCCACTACACGAGATATCGAGCGTTGCTTAATCCTTGAGAAATAGTGTTGGGTCCCATCCGAATTATCTACGGAAGCTCTTATCTCCCTTCAAATAAGTCGAGGCTGTGACGACACGAGCTTTCAAACGCGCGCGAAAAAAATTCTGGCGGACCAGTTCCTACCACCACTCAATACGAGGATTGCATAACGACGTGTCCGACGCGTCGTTCCGTCGGAAATACGGTCCTCCCGCTTTAATATTCTAATTCATGCTGATTTCAAACATCGCCACACGAGCTATCATTGTACGGATCTGCGATTGAATGATCCACGTGGCTTCAACGAGCTGTTTTCGGCTCCCGAAAGGCTTCCCGAAGACTTCGTCATTTTGATTTTTCTCGCGTAGGACCGAACGCTCACCCGCATTGAGGCTGAGAACAGAAGTTTTGAGTGATGAGCATGCCCGGGCATTCATAGTGATAATCCGACACAGTGTCAGAAATTCGGGCACACTGATTGAGGTTTTCGGGAATTCTACGACGTAGAATCCACGTCGCTGGTGCTTTCATATGTACCTCTGAGTGAGAGAGTGGTAGAGTTCGAGCCGATGGAAGCTATCGTCTCGACACGTCAAGGTGGGAGCGTCTTCTCGTACAAGTCGTGCGCCCCCGCTGGCTGCGGAGCTCGCTAAGCATATAGCCGGGATCCGTACCGACCTCCCACGACCTTCCCATGCTCAGCTGGGCGTGCTCCGTTCCGGCGGCGTGGACTTGAACGATGCAAACTTTTTCCTCAGGCGCGAGGGATTAAGGTAAAGCAGAGTTTCCGTTCGGAAAAGCGTCACCGAAGCGTTCCGCCTAGCAGCCGTACGTTCCAGAAGTTTGCAGAAATGTTACGAGACTCGATGCCTGGACAACGGTTTCCAAAACCAAAGGTGGGAGTCGCGGCATTGACCTCGAAACCATCGCGTCGGGTCTCCCAGAAATCCCTCCGGAAAATCCGGGGATCATCCCCCAGAAGATCAAAGTCACGCGACCGTTGCTGATTCCTGAGGGACTCCGATCCGAATAAAACCATGATCGCGATATCTGCGATGACACAGTGATAGAATGTAATAAGAGCGAACGCTCTCCGATAACTGCGACTTCTAATCCACACCGATCGCATCGGTGCCCTGGAAATGAATCCATCGATTTGGTATCTCGAATTGTATAATCGATTCTCGAGTGGGTAACGATTACGTCTGGGGAATTCCAGACTTCGTTCCGGCTGTGAACATACTCTGGGGGGAATCGCGGATGTCTGATCGATCAGCGCGGATCTCGGAACCATTGTCGAGCTCATCGATTAAGCGGAATGACGGCAGATTATCCGCTACAGAAAGTCATTCGTCTCGCAGCCTGCTCGTCTCGTTGAGTTGTCTGAGATATCCCTTCGAGAATCGTTCACCGGTCGGAGCTCCGAGCGGAACGAGGAGCGAAAGTGATGGATATATACACAGTGTCGGAAGATACTTTTGCTTCGCTCCTCCATCATCCGGATTAATGTTGTGATCACCCCATAGTCCCTGAACGTCGTCGCGGCATTACATTTCAATGTATGCAAGTCGTTCGCCCAGTCGTTCCGGCGAAGACAATAATAGCTCCAGCGGGTCAAGTTTAGGCCAGCACGGGGTTAGAATTTGCAATTATCATCCCCCGGTCGAGCACTTTACCGCAAGGGCTGATCAGGTATCGGAAAATCGTGGGAGCTAATTAGCATACAGTTGATTCTTCGCTCGGCGTTTCCGATGCCGAAATACATTTTTGAATATTTCAAGGCCCGCGATGCACACGACATAATCTCACGCGATGAAAGAGCGGGGCTTCAGACTTGAAGAACGAATGGAGAGAACGAGAGCGGCGCAGATTATATTCATTATTATCCCCTGCTTTATTCTTCGCTGCGAGGACAACACAATGAGTGGATGAAAGCTCTTCAGGAGTGAGCTCTCTTGTTCAAACGTTCAACAAAATTAAATTCCGAGAGAAGCGTTCAGCGGAGCGAATGAGCAGATTTGTTCCGGAGCTATGACCTCGCGCGGAAAGTAAGGAACAGTTTCCTACTTAGCTATCGATGCATTCAAGAAGTTGAAAAACATGTGTCGAGACGTCTTGAGCATCAACTTTCATTTTTCATCCATTTCGTTTCACTGGCGTCCAGCGATCCATCTACTTCAGATCTCAAATGAGTTTATACACTTATGAAGAACTATTCTAGAGATGACACATCCATCGTACAAGTTGCGTTCTCAGCTTTCATGCACACGTACACACACACACTTCTCCATGAGATGAAGCGATCATGGGTGATTCATACGCTTTGCCGTATTACTTGGAGGTAATTCCATGTCCATCAGAAAATTACCCTTTCATGACTCAGACGACGTTCAGGGCTTTCAAAGAATGAATCAGCGTCTGAGTTTCACATTCGCGAACCAGTATCACAGCTTCCTAACGAACGCTGCACTCCTCGGAATCTCCGAAGTCTCGCTTCCGGAGAGCTCCCCATCGGGGGAAAGTGCTCTAGAAGTCCAAGAAACCATAATAGCTGTCCTCTACCATCTCGGCGTGGTGTTCGACGATCAGCTTCTCGAACCATGCGAACTCGACTCCTTGTGGAGACCCTTCCAAACTGTGTGGGAGAATTTCCGGGGAAATGGAAGCGTGCAACTCGCTGTATTTGGAGCCGTGCAGATGAATGCGCTTCCGGATCTTCGTCGATAGGAAAGGCCACAACAGGTTGTAAATATGCTTGACCATGCCGTAGTACTCGTTCATCACGTGCACTCCTTTGATTCGAGCCGGGAAACAGCCCTGGGCAATGATGAGTGCCTGGAAATTCGGTGATTTGCAATCAGAATATCATGGATCGATTCGAGTTTCTCGTCCCGTGCAGACTCAATGCGGAGTTCGTATTTACCTTCAAATTGTAGAAGCGACGCAGAAGCGTGGTGAAGAAAGCCATCGAGACGCCGTCGATGTCGATAATGAGTCTCACCCCGAGAGTCTGGAAAGCCACGCTCCGCACAACGACGCGTGATAGATAGTAGATGATGTTGATAACATGGGAGATGTCTTCGTCTTCGAATCTGAACTTGTTCAGAGAGACGATGATGACGACCGAGCCGTCGACGGGATTACGAGCCGAAGGAACCAAGACGATTCCCTTGCGAATGATGTGCAGGTAGTCGCGAGGACCCTTGCCCCGCGGAATGAGCATTTCTGGATTGGGCGAACGTATGCAGTGATAATTCACTAGAGCGTCGAAAGCTTTCTTGACGTTAAATTTCCTCGTTCGCAGGAACGCTAGCAGAAAGCCATCATCCGCCTGGAAATCGATTTCGTCTGATCATTCCTTGCACTCGTTGACCCTATTTCAAGGTATACATATGTAGATTGCTAAGCGAATGTGGAATCGAGTTCGAAAGAATCCCCGCAGCCGGGCTCGCGCTGCAAATTGAATTGACGATGAATCGAGCGCGAAGTACTTCTCGGCTCTCGGAAGAGGAAATCCGTGAAGTCATCGACGAGGAAAATATTTTCGATTACAGAACGAATTGAGTGAAATCAGAGATTACCCGGGGTTGGAATTTCGGATGCTTCTCTTGATAGGACTCGAGTCTTTGACGCATATCGGACAGCTTCATCTCCCATTTTGCAGGATCGTCATCGAGCTCTTCCGCGGCCATCTTCCTCCACGGAAAATCGTCGTCCTTGAGTATTCTTGCGATTTTTGCGGCGGTCATCGCGGTGGATTAGGCTGCGAGAATAAGGAGAATATTTGTGGGTTGGACTATGGAGGGCTATGCGAGGGTTCGCTGAGTGCTTTCTCTCGGGCGCACTCCGCACTTTCTCCTACTACTCGCGTTTTCAGATTGCGGAATACGCCACGGGGATGGAACCTCCCCGGAGAAATGTAGGGCAATGATAGCTGAGTTTCCGGTGAACAGTTTTGTCATCTGAATAATCTCCCGCGCAGCTTAGAGATTCCCGGCGTATTTTCATCTCCTGGCTCGCTATTCGAGAGCATACTCCAAAGCTCAGGGCCTTCTATTTCGAATTCGAAAATTGGTGTCAGTATTTGTAGTCGTCCGCTCGCCGTCTGCGCCACAACTCTCCAACAACCGACGACGTGTAAAGTTTCAACTTGAGCTGGCTCGGATCCGGAAAGGAAGTCGATTAAGGTAAACGGGTCAGTTTGAACTTGAGATTCAGCTCCCGTGAGCCTCGGAGCATCGATGTCTGCTGTTCCGAACGGTGATCCGGATATGATATTGAATGCGGCCACAAATACATCCGACCCGGTATTGCATTGCCCAAACAGAGACAGAAAATGTGCTAGCAGTCCGGGCCTACTTTAAATAGATTCTATTCCATCACCGCCGACTAAATCATGACTAGCGAGGCACAGCTGTCGAAACTCTGTTACGCGCTTGACCCTTGGACTTTCGACACGAAGAGGCTTATAATCAGCGACTTGTCAACGTCACTGTTCCTCAATGTGATCCATGTACATACGGTCCGCATAGAAACTAGACCGAGAGTCTCGGCGAATCAAATGTCCCACGGAGCATGAGCCAGTACTATCTTAATCATCCAAAAACCTATTCGATATCAATCTCACCGCAGCTTGAGATAGGTCTGTCGCGAGGCGGGGATAGCGAATGCGAGCGAAGATTCGGACTCGGCGCGGGGGCCCCAACTCATACCAAAATCACGAATCCGGGAGCGCTTATGAACATGTTCTCAGAAACGCGGATGTTAGACGAGGACTTTCAGTCTACTTGAACGACAGGAACTTACTCACGGAATCGTGGGGAACCACACGAACTGAATCAGAACACAATTCGACTCCGACTGCGTTGACAGGAGCGGACGGAGCGGTGGATCTCACGAGGAAGTCACGAACGATCTCAGTTGGAAGTGGGAGCTCGACCAGAGTTTTAAAGCACGCCTCATAGGGTTGGGTCCCAAAGTGAGCCAACGGGCAAGCGAGCTGATGCCGCTCTCACGAGAGAGTTGGAAAGCGCGCGAGCGGGCATTAGAGAGGAAAGTAGTTGTCAGTGATCACCAATACGTACCGCGAAGACTAACGCTCACGGTATCGTCACCACCGCCGCCGTCAAATCAGTAGCAGCAGCCGCAGCAGCAGCGAGCACCTCAGCTTTGGGCAACGGAAACGTATCGCCAGATCCGACCGGAGGCTTGGTGAACGGTGTTTCTTCTCTGTTGTTCTCTCCTCTGACGCCGGTGAGCGTTGCTCGGGATGCTCGCTCGGACTTCTGGTGCAGCGATTTGTAACCGTACGTCGGGTCCGTCACCGCCAAGCCGCCTTTGGCAGCCGCTCGGGTTTTCAAGGGCAAACACAGACAAAACGCAACGTTTTCGTCAGCAACGTCGTCTCAGTCTTCTGACGGAGCTCGACTCGTCATGGGGTGTCATGAAACGGGAGTGTGAGGTCGTCATTTCGGCGTATGCATCGAAAAAATTCCTCGTTTACCGAAGTAGAATGTTTATCTTTAGCAAATCATGAACGCAAGAGATATCCCGTCAATTGGCGGATTTGCTGCGGAGGCGGTTTTTGACAACGAACTCTGATGATGGTATCATCGGAAACTACCCGACGATCCCTTCCTGGTGAGTCGAAACTCTGAATGATGTCAGGGGTTCAAGCCGAGAACCCCAGAAGACCGAGTGTGGGAGGATTCACTTGAGCGGAGCTTATTTCTGTCCCGCATCGAATCAATCAATAGAAAAAGAGCCCCGCCGCCAGTATATCAACATCCGACCTTTCTGTGCAGAATTAACGGTGATATAAACGCGCTGGAAGATACCGGTTCACCTTATCGGCTAATTCTGGCGGTGAACATTCTTTTTTCACACCGACGTTTTCCCATAGCCTAAGGGTCTTTGAGGGCCGAAAGGGCTCATTTCAAAGCCCGGGGTGTCCTCGCCGATTCCTCGGGTATTTCCATCTTGTGAGCGTGTGGAAACCCTTACTGTGAATAATGTCCAGTTTATGGGGAACCCAGCGAAACGTCCACATTCTGAGCTGAGATCCTTGGGGAAGACACCCATGCTGCAGAGCGGGATGTGAATTGTGACTTTTGAGAAAGTTCCATCGAGCTCCACTGTTCTCAAAGGTTGCCCCCCCTGGTGATAGAATACGCCGTTTGCACCTTCATAAGTGCTTAAATCCTAGAATTCCTTCGGAGGTGATGTCAAAAAACAGCTGGATACATTTATCTTCCCAAAACGTCTCGCAAAAGTCCAAAAAGTTAGACTACCCGTCTCGATAAGCCAACGAGTCTGCTCCACGCAGTTCTTCTTGTGAGTTAGAAGCGGTGTCGGGTGCAGATGCACAGAATTCCCCCCCGAGGGGGATTCGACGTATCACGAACACATTCGGCGCACTTTTCCCGGACTCCATCTAAATGACGACCATTCTCATGTCCCGACATCGACTCAACTTCTCGGCCCCCGATCTCCTCTTCCCGAATCCGCTATCGGTTTCGAGGTTGCACTTGACTGATACCGCTCGATTACGTGTTGGATCTCTCGTCCCGTCGCTTCCGTGAATACTTGTCATTTGATACAGCGAGCAAGTTATTGTTTGGGACACGTAGCGAGTACGGGCACTGAAAGATCGATTCTCTCGTCTCTCAATAATTTACGGTCGCAGCAATAGTATTTGTACATCGCTCGCATCATCACCAGTTTCCCCCGATTCCTCTTCCAGCTCCGTTCCACAGTAACATGCCGGTTTAAGCATCGAATTGACAAACTTCACGCGCTTGAAGACTGATCTCGAAAGACTGAGACCTCAGGGAGCTGTCGGTTCACGGAGGCAGCTCCGACCCCATATCTAGTCAGTGAAAGCGTGAAGATCAATCCGAGGAAGAATTCTTCGATCGACTCATGGAAGTCAGAAAGTCCTCTTAAACAGAGCGAGATTTAATCCCGCGGATTCCCGATGATACGGTGTCGATCATGGTGATCGAGCTCGAAAAGGATTGCATTCCTGAAGACCAACGGCAATGTCTGCCCGGAAACGATAGTTGATTAGGGAAGTCTCCTACGTAAGACAATCTCCCACGCGAATGGTATCGAGGTAAAGAGTAGACGTTGAATACCCGGACCGAGTGGTATCGGTGTCTTCTTGGTCATGGCTCCGAGATCCTCGCATTATCATCATCCAGATAGATCGTAGTTTTTTCTTGCAAATCTCCGATTCTAACAAATCGGATGACTCGATGTCACTAAAAGCAGATTCGCAGGGGCACGGCCGCGTATTGATGAGAATCGAGTGGTATAATTTCTCCGGGCGAGTAGCGAGGGGGGACTGATTCTCGAGGGCCGAGATTCAAATGATGGCTTCCGGAGGGTAAGAGCTCTGACGAAATCTGGCAATCTCCGGTGGAGATTGTGCGGGCGGGCATCGCACACGCTCAGCCGCGAATTCTGCGGAATGTTGGCATAACGAGGCGCTGCCGCCGATGGAAATAGTGTAAGAGAGACGGATTTCGAGGTATTCGGGATGATGAAATGCGAAATGGGAAGCAATCTATAGCCAGACGGATTGAGCAATTCTCCATCACTCGAAAGTCTCGACCGCTATCAGGGTCTGAAACTGACAATGACCCGTAATCTCCACGTTTGGGTGAAAGATGGACGCCAGAACCCTTCTGGCTCTTCCGGCGTGAGTTCTCCTTGACACCCGGGATCTGAATGCGTGTAGAACAAGGGATCAAGCAGGACGCATCCCCAGAAGATTTCATTCCGCTCTGGCCGCTCATTGTTAGTTGCATTGCTTGACCTGCGTGGACCGAATTTCACTCCCCCTCGGACAACTCACAGCGCCAACCGATCTACTGAGGCAATTCAATGGGGTGAAAGGGATGGTATGGATGTTCAGTAAGCGACACTCACGACTCACGAGGGCTGCGCGGATCTCCACGCCTAGAAACTCGGACGCAGGAAAGAGCATACTTCAGTCCGGATCACATGAGCTTCCCGGACCGTGACCTGCCCAAGAGAATCCGACAGGCAGGATCTCTGCCGGCAGAGTGGAATGATCGAGGAAAGGGTTGGGCTTCTCTGGCAAATCAGGTATTTTCCCTCCCGTGGAAGAGGCGAGTGAGCTGCGATCATATTCTTCTATCTCGAGCGGTCCTGACTGTCATCATGTGGGGGAGTCGGAATCTTCCTACTTACACAAGGAGACCCATCGGGGGAGGCTCGCCACGGGCTCTGGTTCCCGAAAAACGTCCCAATGACCTCAGTGATCCCGATGGAGTGAGATGGGACGTGTCCCATGATGGAATGTGCTGTAGGCAATCGTCGTTTCGGCATGACCTCTGATACTCCGACGGAAAAAAACGTGGTCGATCAGGAATCAAGCATCGAGACTGGCTTCGAGGTGCGTATAACGAGTCCCCATGCCGCACGCCTCAACTATTTTGACCGCATATCTACTCCCATCCCAAAGCATATTTCCAGCGTGTTCGGTGCACGGTCCGCGCTGTGCTGATGGAATTGATAGGGATCTCGGTCGTCTACTTATTGAAGTGACCTCTGATTCTTTCTTACGAAGCGTTCCCTATTGCTATTATAGATTGAGATGATGAACATCAGCGAGGCTTCATTTTCTCAACGCAACGAACCGTACCCGATGCCTCCATAGCCGTAATGGCGACCGGCTGACGCACTCCGACACCGACCATCGGCAGTAGGAAGTTTGCGTCAGATTCTTGCATCTGCTGGGAGCTAATCGAACTCTCATCGGATACCCAAATATTTTCTCGCACATGATACGCGGGTGATTTCTGTGATCCGGATGGATCGACCCCAGATGATTCTGATGATCCTGATCGCTCTTGACCCGGTTCGGCAGAAATCTCGAGATCAGCGTTACGCATAATTCAAAGAGATAAGGAGGCTTCTGCCGATAACGGCCATTGAACGTGCATCACGCAGCCTGCACCCCCATAATTCAGGGAGAGATACTGGTCAGGACCCGGAGCGGACGCTGAGAGATGTCGCATGTCCCAAAACGCTATCTTCCCATGAATAGGGTGATCTCCTGATTCGATGGTGGTTGCCCGGCTCCTACGTGAGCTCATTCAAGAGACTCTTCTCGAGTTCGGTAGCTATTCGTGCTCCCAAACACCTTGAAAGGAGATGCTCTCCGAGGGAGTACACAGTACACGATAACGAGTCGGTCTGAATCCACTTGCTCTCGGAATCATCAAGGCAGATGTGATGGCGGATGTGATGGCCGTCCGTGATGTCATGTTTTGAGCTACACATGAATACTGCTCGTCACTGCTGCTGACGCATGAGGACCTACGATATTGACCTTATTATTCTCAACCTCGGAAACGTCCTTTGTTAGTACGAGCGTTGATTGCAGAGGCCTTTGACTGCCGCCTTCAAGCTTTGTGACGTTTCGCGAAAAATCTCGGTGTCGAGTTTCGGTGGGAAGCGCGGAAGAAAACAACAACAAGAAACGACAACGCTTATCGTTTCGAACGACAGATTACATTTTATTCATAGAAAGATATGCTCGTAGCTTAAGCAAAGGCGTAGAGCATGGTGAAGGCCCTCCGTCGACATGGCTCGGCCCTTGAAATTCGTGGAGAGCGCGACATTGACCTTGTGCACGAGACGACCGACGATCGTAATCATTCGAAACAATTCGCTCGAAAATAGGTCAATCATGACGTTTCGGCAGGTTCGAGGACAGTACAGGGCCTTCGCTTGGCGATCTCGCGAGATTTGCCTTGAACCAGCATGGCGGTCTGATTAAGAGCAAGCTTGAGTGCGGCTCGAGGTCGAACCTCGTTCCCAAATAATGTCGACTCAACGGCTCAATGCCAGCGCGTAGCTGCTCGCATCTCAAGGGGAAGTTCCTCCAATCAATCCAGTACAGGTACGGATCTCTCCCATCGATCGACGAATAATAATCGGTCTGTGTCATTGAAAAATCTTCCTCGACTTTAGATCGATGAGACATCTTGGTGGCTGGTGTGCAAACAGATTCGTCTTTCCTCCATTCCACAGATTCATCTCATTTAGGCAACTCCGTGGAGAGCCGGATCGGGAAAGTCCCCTGGGGAATTCCTGCGAATTCCCGATCCCAATGGATCGGCGATCATATCCCCCGGATTAGAACGGAACATTCTTGCCGTGCAGACTCATGGCGCGCGCACACGTGACAAAAATTCCGCTCACACTCCGGAGGAGCCCATACCGTAAATATTCTGATGATAGAGGGGTAGTCACTACTACAGGGGCAGTCTTCAATAGGTGGACCCTTCTAGGGAAGGAATCCAGGTACCCGAGTCGCGAAGATCGCAAATCTCACCTCACGGGTGCTTTGTGTAAACTCCTGGCCTGCCCGCGGTGAATATTTTACCGATTCAATATAGTCTATCAATATGAGTGACAGAACTCAATTCACTCGTTGCAGGACGGAAGGAATAGACGGACAGTCTTTGATAAACGGCCATGTTCAGGGTGGTCAAAAAATAGACGGGACTGGTCTCCAATTGAAATATTTACGGTATTTCACATTCTCGAAGCCTCGTGCATCGGAAGAGCTGTTTTGGCTACCGGTAGGCAAGTGAATCCATGCGCCTAATCGGCTCTACGGAGATCAAGGAATGAGATTCCTCGTCTCTTGAGATTGAACCTGGTGGACACGAGAACGTGAGATGCTCAATCTCTCCAGACAAACAGCGTGTGACGGACAGCAACGGACGATCGTCCATTGATCCCCCGAGGTCTCCCAACATGTAGGTACTTCTAATGAACATTTGTAGGTACATATTCGAGCGGACCTTCGCCTGCCACCCACGACTCGGCTCGCCGCGATGAGTAGATACGCCGGCATCGAGAGCAACTTGATTCCCTCTTCCGTCGGAAATTCTCGACCTCACAATCAGCTCTCGACGAAACCGTAGTGGCTCTTCTTGACGACCCCATCGTGGATTTTTTCTACGGCTTCCTTCATCCACGAGCCTTCCCACTTCCCTGCAGAGCCGCCTAGAATATCAGGGAGGATACTTGGTGACACAAAGTCGTGTAATTCAGCGAGTCTTCCATGGAAATGCATGACGTCACGTTGCTCCCTTGGGAGAAACGCTAGTTGCAAGATGCGAGCCATCCCGAGTATCCACTTAGGTGTTTCCAGAGCGTGAAAACCTTTGACGTGCCAAGGACAAGAGGTCTGAGCTAATTGAGACGCCTGGGAAAGAATTCCTGGTTAGGCCCCACGGATCAAGACATTCCAGCAAAAGGAAAATGAATGATTCTTGTAGAGTGTCTTGGTGCGAGCAGATCCGGAGTGATTCTTTGAGTTCTAAGAATCTTCGACCTCATCTCCTGGTCCTCACCGGACCCCATCTCATCCTACTCCGGCGAGGGTTGGAAATTACCTTGTGGTAGTACATCTTGGCCATTACCGACTTAACGGCGGCGAAGCTCACTCCAGTGAAGTCAATTATGATCCTGATACCATGTGTTTGGACGGACGGGTCGACTACGACTTCCATGATAATGAGGAAGATGGCGTTGAATACATCGATCATGGAATTTTCTCCAATATTGAAATTTCGGAAGCTATAGATGAAGACGAGGGAACCATCCAATGGATTCCTCTGCTTCAGGAGAGAAACGATTGGCTTGTCATAATACTTCGAGTAGAATTTCGGTCCTCTGCCGACAACGAAGAGCTTTCCAGGATTGCACAAACGAACTCTGTAGAAGTTCTTGTATGATTTGAACGCCAGTCGCTCATCGAATTTGCGAGTGCGAAGGAAGGCCATGAGGAAGCTATCATCCAGCTGGGGGAGGAAAAAATATTGAGCGCCTGGGAGAACGCGGAGGAAAGAAGATCGCTGGATGTACAGATTGATGTCCTCAAACAGTCTCTGATTGATAATCCGAGAATGAGCGGTCACGAACCTGAGGTCGCAGTTTTGGCTGCGTGGCCGACCACGCTTTGATCTTGTCTTTTAGAGCAGATAGTTTCTGCTCGTAGGTCTCCGGATCGTCATTCAGCTGTTCGCGAGCTTTCTCTTCCCAAGGCCATTCTCCATCGTTCTGCATACTTTCCAGAAACAGGTTCGCCATCGCTAGAATCCCATTCGTGTCAAAGATATTCCACGGACTCTGAGCAACACCCTATGCGGTCCCTCGGAGGAGGCGATTGAGTTTCTAGCTCGCACCGGAAGAATTCTTCATCGCCCTGTATCCTGCTCCGAGACCGGAACAGGAGAGTGAACGTTTTCGATCGATTGAGTCTATTGAATCTGGATTCGAAAACCTCACTGGCCAAAAAAGAATCTGGCGACTGGATCACCTTGGCGTAGAGGGTACAGACTCACCACGGAAAGTATTTGCGCACGGAGCAGCTCCCGATGAACCGACTTTCCTGTCGCTCCGAACGATCGCTCGGTCGATGGCGATGACTTTGGCTCCTCCGAGTCTTTCGGAAGGCCATGGAAAGGCCTTGGTTTCCCTCTCGCGGAATCAAATATTGACTGCCGACAAAAGCGGCAGCTGACTTTCCCTCTCCCCGTGTTGGTGTAAATGGAGGTGAATTTAGGGTTTCCATGAACTAATGGGCTAGCGAGTGAACGTGTCCGTTCAGCGTTTCCACGGCGCGTCCATCTCGTTGTTTGAGGGAAAGATTGAATCTGGCGCTCGTCAGAGAGCTGCCAACACGCTGAACACAGCGTACTCCACCGTTACACAAGCCGGTTCAGGGGCATCCGCTCGGAGCAAACGGAATTCATCATTTAGTTCGGTAGCTTGGAGGCAAACATTGGATGGAATTCCTGGTTCAGTTGAGCCACTCCATGCTTCCGAGGCAATCTCCGTCTGGGTGCCGATTTGCCTCCTAGTCCCCGACGAATTGCGCCCGAGGTAGGCTCTTTTTTGAAGCTCAATCTCTCGGAAAGTATGATATATGCCATGCATCAAACTCTCTTTGTCTTCTGCCGAGCTTAGTGCGTGGCATGACCCGTCTGAGTGTTTTTGTTACTTTACTTGTCACCAAACACGCTCCGCGGCGCATTGTACCGCGAATGTCCGATTTGTTGATGACTCACCAAGGTCATTCTACTAAGAGAGCGTGTTCTTCCCGTCACGTGCGAAATGTGGGGTTTTAGGATCAGTGCTTGGGAATATATAGAGCCTCCGATGTCGTTCCAAATATCAAGATCCTCGTCTACTTTACCCTCGATATCTTCTCGGGATTCACTGGGCTCATGTACGAGATGATCTCGTGGCAAGCGTCCAGGTAGAAGCTTGTCACACATGTAGAAGCTTGACTGGCCGCGATGGAGCTCAGGGAACCTCGTCGGGGAAGAGGTTGAGTGCTCCGGAATCGCGGGGATCGATGCGCGAGGGCGACACTCTAGGTGTACGGCATCAGAGCGACAAGCATCTCATGGAAATTCCTCTCGACCGTCCGCGAGAATCTCCAGCATTCTGACTCCCTGAGAATAAAATTCTACCGAGAATATTGGCGGATCATGGATGTCTCGCTTTCAAACGATCCCTCTGATTTCTTCATCATCATTCCTTCTAACGGCAATCATCGGTGAGGGCTCCTCGGACGCCTTATTTCTTCTGATTGGAGGACGCTCTCTAATGAAGCATCTTCCTGTAGTTTACGATCATCGCTTTGAAGCTCAAAAATATCGACGAGCAAGCTGACTAATCAGTATAAGATCCGCCACGGACCTGATCTCTTCCGCAAAAGCTGACCCTTCAGGTTTTCGAAAACAGGTTTCTAGGTGAAGGCGCAAGCGGAATCAAATTCGCTACCCTACTGGAGGAGGAGCGAGCAAGCCCTACAATCTGAGAGGCAGCCGGGACAGCGTGACATGCCTCGCCGAATCTCTACAAGCGGGAAAATTCGGGATCGGATCAATGAAGTGATGTCATTACTCTAACTGATATGATCCGTCTCTTCGAATATCGTGTCGTCCTCAGCAAAGCATACGATCACTCAATTTTCGAGAACCTCGGACAAGCATGTATCGAAGGTTCGGTTAGGTTAGGTTATGCCTCCGGAGAGTGTTCTTTGTTTCGATTCTTTTCTCCCCCGGCTCGCTTAGGTAATTCAATATTCAGTTCGGGGTCGAAATGGATATAGGAGAGGAAGTCCACAAGGAAAACTCCGAATTCAGAACTCGATGAGATACTCATCAACAATGTTTTATGAGAATAGTCCTACATCGTCGAGTAATTTCGTTCCTAATCGTAATCTTTGCTTCGCCAGTAAGGACAGCTCCGAGAAAATGCGGGGCAGACACGCGCATCACATACAGCGGACAAGACGACTAATTAAGGGATTGGCGACTCCAAACAATAAATAATTTCTTCCTTGTTATAAAGTGCAACTCGCAAAGCGAATTGAGCAAGGAACGCGAATTTGATCGCGCTCGAGACCGACTGGGAATCCCTCCACAGGAGGCATGAAGCTGACGACGATGACCGGCCCCGCGCTCAGAGCGGAGAGCTTTGGTTGACCGCTCTCGCACATTCGAAAGCTGGTTCCCCGGCTGAACGAACTCTCCGCTTCGGGCTTGACTTCTTCCCGGCTCCGCTGAGGAGCTTCGAGCATCACAATCGTTACCTTCTCATCGGTAGAGAACTTTCCACGCTGAGATGGAAGACAAGCTGTTCTCGAAATATGCGCCGCACTGGATGCGCCTCCCAAAATCAGGCCCGACTCACGGGGATGAACAGGAAAAAATCCGCCATTGACAGAAGGAGAACTTCCTAGCGTAATGGAAACTGTGCCTCCCGGTCTACGAATCATATTCCTGAAGCGTCACGATACAAGTCGTTGCGATCGCGGCTGAATCATTGCAGCGTTATCCGCGGATGCAGGCGGATTCGGAATGTTTCTTGTTTCATAGAATATTTCTCTTCAACTAGGCTTTCCCCGAGGTAATATCACAGACTTATGAATCCGAAATACGTTTGCTGGACTATCTTGTCGTTCAGCTGGTCCATGGCCTCTTTTAGGCGTAAGCCACTCCACGGACCAGTCTCGCCACCTAGTGTATCAGGTAGGATACTCGGCGAAACGAACGCGTGCAGCTGTTCACAGCTGTCATGGAAATGCACACGCTCGAGCATTTTCTTCGGCAGAAGTGGTCGGAACGCTTGAAACACCATCCTCGTTGCCCGTGCGGGCCCGTTGATCACGTGGAATCCTTTGAAGCGCATCGGGGATGAGCCCTGGGCCATGAGTATCGCCTGAGGATTAAGAAATGTAAATGCGTCGCATCTGCCGTCTCCGATCCGGGTGATCCAGCCGGCAGCTACAGACACTACAGACCTTGTTCAAGTAGAATCTGCTGAGCAGAGCTGCAACGATCCAATAATTCAGTCCTGTGAGATCGAACACGAAACGGAAGCCGTACGTCTGGATTGACGGATCGAGGATGAGCTCTGTGATGACTTGATACGATGCATTGAAGACATCTTCGTATTCATCTTTGCTCGCGTCGAAATTCCGAAAGCTCCAGATGAAAACTGTGGTCCCGTCGAGCGGATTCCGTCGATCCGCAATCGTCCCGATCGGATTCGTATAAACTCTGCTGTAGTGTTTAGGCCCTCTACCCACCGGGAAGATTTTCTGCGGGTTGCAGAGCCGAATTTTGTGGAACTTGCAGTAGCCATTAAAAGTTTTCTGCAGATCGAACTTGCGACTCCGGAGAAACGCCATCAGAAACTCATCGTCTGTCTGCGGAGACAAGGAACGAGCTCAGCGTGTGTCGGAGACTCCCGAGGAAGCAACCCGGAATCAAATCTCGGAAGCGAATAAATTGATAGAGACGTGATATTGGAACGGCGCCGGCGTACGAACTCGAGGTCTGAAATTCTTCATCTCGATGGAATATTCTTTGATTTTCTCCTTCAGATCGAGCAGCAGTCCATCGGTTGCGTCGGGATTTTCGTTGAGTTCCTGTCGAGCTTTTTCTTCCCAAGGCCACAGTTTGTGTTCTTCGCGGAGACCGTTCAGGATGTTCACGGTCATAGTCCTGCGGATTCCACGGAGATGTGAGACCGATTCACACTTCTGATCTCAATCCGGTAGCATACGTGTAACTCGGAACCTCGAAAGAAGCAACAACTTTCAAGAACTTCTCACCTCAAATGTTGGGCTCTTCCGGGATGCGAAATGGCAGAGGCCCGTCGGCGTCGTTACTACTCCAAACCGTCATCTGAACGGTTTGCGGCTCATCGCTACTGCCGACTAATCAAAAAGTGATTGTATATCGCTAGTTAAGAGCGGAGTACTTGAGCCACGGAGCTGGAAAGTGGAATTCTTATTGTAACCCGCGCGCTGGAATAACGAAAGGGAAGCGAGCTGGAATGACCTCGAGAACGCTCTCGCCCTCTTAGAATGACATAATAATTTACTGAGTGATATTGAAGTGAATATAAGAAGCGTGATTGTGAAGCTCGTCCTCTGAGCCTCTGAGTACAAATGTACGCAAAGGCGGTGGATTGCCATTGGAGGAGGGTCGAACTCTCACACAATCACGATCGAACACACTCATGGAGTGCGGTTGGATTGCGAACGAAATAGCGAGTAGCCCGGGCTGTGAATATAGAGCTTTCCCGCTGTCCAAATGTCACGGGAGTCCGCGGACGGTGAGTGCCGGGCGGCGTTAGTCTATCAAGGCGAATTCTCGACGAATTATCGATAAACTTAACACGAAGCATCAGCTGATTCGAGTCACTTGGAACTAACCTCCAGTACACAGATCGCTCCCCATATCTCGGAAGTAAGTAGTATCAATTAAGGACTTTTCCAGATCCTACATCAGAACAGCGTGATTAATTAGCTCAACGCTTGAGAGCAGACAGCAATATACGGCCCGACGACAATGTGCCATCACTGACGGGAGACTGCTTTGGAGCAAACTTTTGCCGAAACAGGGCGAGGGAGCTCTCTCCTGTTTGCGTCGTCGGAGTCAATGGATACCCGCAGAGCGCTGCGCAATGATCTTCAAGCTCGAGAGTTTCACGAGGCGACCTGAGGAGCACAATGCTCCCTTCGCGGTTCTGGAAAGCGAGCGAGTTGTTTTTGGAGGGGGAATATATTCATTCTGATAATAATCCGATATCGCGCGCTTTGTTCGGCGATCGATGGCTCTGAAATGATTTGCAATAAGCTCGTCCTGACGCTCTGCTGCGCCATATTCCGCCGAGAAATCCCTCCGAATCATCTCCTGGCTCAGACTCGAAGCCAGAATCGCATTAGCCAGAATTCTCATGAGCCAGGATCGTGAAGCCAGGATCGATCGGCGCCTTCCCATGCGCAATGGAGCACCTGTAAAACATGTATCGATCATCGCGATGAGGCCTATGGTTTTTGGAATTGGGATGATATCGCGCGCGCGTGTCAACTGTTGCACGAGTTATATTCTGGGGTCTCACTTACACGGACAGAAGAGACAGAACATCGCATAGAGAGCGGACGCTGCTAGCCGCAGCTGATAGGCAGGGCTGTGTGGTTTTCTGGGCTGTGGTATTATTATGTGAATAATATGAGCATGAGCTCGGTCATGTTTTCCAAGAGCAGAAGAGCAGAACAAAGAGTAGTCGGTGAATCAGGTTTTGCGAAGTCATTCCTGAATCTTGGTAGTCTTCCCGGACAGTTGTTGATCTCAGTTGCGATTGCGGCTTCCAGTCCCTTTCTCGATTTCCTTCGACTGCTCGCTGATCATGATTGTTGCAGTCTGGAACTCACGACCTCGAGCAAACGTGGAGTATCCAGCTGAGTAAAGAAAATGGCCGGGAGCTACCAAACAAGAGCCCTCTTCGTGAGTCCTCGTCCGAGGCGTCCGCGAGAAATTCCTCTCTCCCAAGGCTTAAAAGTCGCTCTAGAGCACCGACATCTTATCTCCTCAGAGCATATCTGGTACAAGAAGATCTCAGCGATTTTTATAAATGTCAGTGAGGACTGAATTAATTTCGAGTTATCTCCTTGATCGATGGAGCTCCCGTCATTGAGTGAGGGAGGTTTTTCTAACAGCTTACTTCCACCGGGGACCGTAATTAGAGTGATGCAGCAGAAACATTGTTTCCTCGGTCGCCCAAAAAAGTAATCCTCCCAAAGCCCATGGAGATACGTCCGTTGCCACGTCTTGCGTCCGGCCTACGAGGATGTCTGTTTGTGCGTTGGTATACGTGACGTATATTCGGTAATCCCAGCACTGCTCCTGCTCACTCGCGTCCAGTTCAACAAACGACACATGTCCGAGTGGGCTCCATGGCCAGCCCTCGATGGAGTCCTGAAGGCCGCGGTACAACACAGATTGGGAGCTCAGTTCGGGATCGCTTCTCGCTTCCGACTGAGACATAGGAGGCATTGGGTGATGAGGGATCGAGGATTGAGAATGGAACTCGGGAAGCTGATTGACGACTGTCGAACCGCTCCATGAAGTCTCATCGATTTCGGAATGAATGGAGGATGCCAGTTAGGGATTGATTCCCAGCCTGACCACGGGCGACCTCCAGAGACGGGAAACCCATGGCAGTTGCTCACAGCGAGGAATTTAAGCGAGTTCGAGCAGTCGCACCCGCTAGGGCCGCGTCTTGTGTGCGGTCTCTATACCGCGAGGAGCGTTAGGGTAAAAGCCGCTTATCGAGATTCCCCAATACGAGCGGCATCCTAGGGAGCGACATCTTGGCCTTCTTCGGTATTACACGAGACAAACGCGGCTCGTGGAGGCGGCTACTGGGGTTCGCTCCCGATGAGAGACACCCGTGGCGGAACATCCGCGAAATTACATCAGAGCGAGAAGTTATTCAAAAGAGAGAGAGACAGGTCTGGTTTCACTAAATCATTGATTGAAAGAATCCATGTATCAAAGGGCGATGGGGCAGTTTATCAGTCTAATAGTCTGGGGGATCGGGACGCGTCTGAGGATGGTGAGGGATGGCGAATCCCGGAATACATTAATCGTTTTTCGTTTTCTCGTAAATTAGAAATCGTGCGGAGCCGAGTTATGCGGGGGATGACGATTCAGTACAAAGGACGGCATTTGGCATGAGTCGACGTCGCGGAAGCATTCGGCCGGGAGCCAAAGCTTTGCGATTGAATGATATCAGTCTCCGATAATGGTCAAGCGGATCAATGAGACCACCGACTCCGTCGGGCCCCTATGGAGGGACCTGCGCACTTGTGGACCGCTTCCGCTTTCCCTGCTAACGTTGCATTTTCACAAGAAGTGGTAAGAATAGTCCCGAAGGGATCCTTGTGCTTCACTCGCTTGTCGCTTCTGTAGAGCTCATCCAAACGCCAGTGAGTCGAGGGATAGACGTCTGCCTCGCTAGCTCTTCGTTTGAGCGTTTCTGGAGGACCGCATGCCTCGTAGGGAACCGCAGGGAGGGGAAACTCTCAGGAGCGGGATAACGAGACTCGCTCACACCGACCAATAATAGATAATCACAACGCATGCTATACACGGCGTCGTTCCACCCATGGAGAGGAAAAGAGGACTTCATCGCGCACCCCGCTCTCGAGTCCATTTTATTTCGCTCATGGCGGACCTTAGGAGCCTCACCTTATTCTTCGGAGAACTCATTCCCAGTCATTTGTTTACCGGTTCTCGACATGGTCCGAAATTTCGAAAGAACGGGGTCTGAGCGAGCCGCATTGATTACCGCTGGCTGGGGTTTGCATCCATCAGAATCGAGTACGAAGCGGTAATTGCCCACAGCGGTTCCATTTTCTCGAAGAGACCGCGGCCTCTCTTGAGTTTGGTTGCCGCTTGTTTTTGTAATCATCGTCCCCGTTCTACCCTCTCGTCCCCGCGAGGGCGAATCGATTCAGGGGACGGACCATGATCAGAAAAGTTTCAGGGAGGGCCTTCCGTGATCGAGGTTCTGCAATTACTTCGATTTGATTTTGAGCCTCAAAGCGCGGTGGCCCGCAGGCCATCAGCGGATAGATTGGATTCACGGGAACTCGGCGCATTCCTGTCGCAGCGGAGACATTGCATATCAACGCCCATCAGACGCATATCAATTGACTTCATGCTCGGTGGCCTCTTTGAGAATGGTTCAATCGCGAGTCCGTCCAACGATTGAGCCATCCGACGGATTCTCATTCGGAGTCAATGAGTTCCTCGCCCAAGGCACTATCTGTTTACCGATCGATCGGATTTCTGGGAAGAGACCCGCCGTTTTCCTCCGGAGAGGGAGTTCACTGAGGAGCGGAGAGTCTGGCATATTGAGCTTGGATAAGCTCGGCTGGATTATTCCTCCATAGAAGCGGAATATTCTCCTTGTCGAGGGGATTTGGCGAAGCTTAGAGCTAGATGCTAGCTCCTCTTGAACGCGTCGACGCAACGCCGCAATCGAGAGAGAAGGAGCGTTTAGGTCTGAACTCCGGAAGCGTAAAGAACGCTTGGTACAAAGTATGAGTCTAGGGATATGACGAGTGCCCAGTATGGAAGAGAGAGAATCATCGCTCACAGCGGATATCTCTCGGAACGAGCCCTCCATTCGAGCGATAGGTCTGCCGCTTACGGTTTCGTCTCATCCCAGGGTGTTGTTCAAGAAGATCTTGATAGGCGGGACACCTCCGTGTGTTCGTCCGTTATATTTCATTGAGAGGATCTATCCAAGGATGGAGGAATCAGCTCCCGAGTCTGCGCGGAGTTTACCGGAGTGAATTGAGGTTACGAGCGACGCACCCTGGAATGAGTGGAGCTGATTCGTAATATGAAGCCTCTGCTGGAGACTTGATATGACGAATGCGTCTCCCTGACCTCCTGCGCGAATTCCAGCGCTCGATCACGAAGCATGGGATTCTTGTCCTTTCGGCTCATTCATAAGTGATTGTTGTGGAGAGAACCTGAGTGCGTTCAGGTAGAAAATGACAAGACGATTTTCACGTTGACAGTACAGGTTCAATGATTATACATTGATCGATCTATGACATAGCATCGAGTCTCCGCCCGTAGCGGAGGAGATCGTGGTCAGAGTGCCACCCTGTCCCCTTCTGTAGTACTGACGTCGTCCCTTCTTGATGAGCGGGTCTCATGAGACACCTATGTGCTCCTCAGCGCTTGATGTCTCCACGGCTAAGGCGGTATCGCCTCGAGGGAGTATTCTGCGTGGACCTTGGATTTATTGAATGAAATTCTGAAACTATGTGACGCCAGTGGGTTGACTCATGAAGAAGGAAAGCTGGGAATCAGGAGTAGTCTTGAAGCTCCGTATTTTCACATGGAGTCGCCCGAGAGACGTATCCGATGTTCCGATCCGATATTGATATATCTGACGATTCAGTGCATGCAGAGGAGGAAACAGCGGGATTAGGCGGGGGAAAAATTATCTTGAAGCAGAAAATCAGCGCCTTTCAACTCGAAAGGATTCGAACTTTTTATCGACGGCTTCCCGCGACTCCTCGCATGGATTTCTCGGGCGAATGAGATCCGCGTTCAAGGAAGGAATAACTAACGGCGTCAGTCGAGATTATTTTCGGTGAACCCCGACATGTCGGATCAGAACTCATGTCTCGTACTACAAGTTCCACCACGCGATAGCTCGGAGAGTGCTGGATCCTGGCTCGGACCATGGGGAGCGACGATATAATGCGTATCAGATAAGCTCGGAGCGAGTCCGATCACACTCCATGGATAATCGTGCACTTTACTGGGGCTCGAGATGATCAATTATATCATAACCGGAATCCGCTCCAAGATGGATCTTTATTCAGCCTATCCGATTCTCCTCGACGCAAAGTTCCGCGATGGATATTCCATATCGTTCCTCGAATATCGCATCACCGGCAGTCGAGAATTCGAAGACGGATCTCCGCGACATTCTGGTCGACTTATCGGTTGTCCTCCGCAACGTAACCAAAACGACTCTTCTCAACGATAATCTCGTGGTCTCGAAACAGAGCTTCCCGGTACCAATCGGCATTGAAGGGTCCGCCGCTGCCTCCGATTTCGTCAGGAAGAATCTCCGGAGAAACGTAACTGAACAGCTCCTCGAGATTCTTCCCGTGGAAATGAAATCGCTCCCTCATTTTCTTCGACAGCACCGGTCGTATAATTCTGTAGACGTATTGAGTCAGACTGTACGGATCGTTGATGTAATGCATTCCTTTGAAGCGAGCTGGAACTCCGTTTTGGGCTTTCATGATTGCCTGAAGAAAATCTCGTCGATTATTATTATTATTGGCAAGTGGAAGGAGGTGCCCAGCTTTTCGGCTGATCGAAACGCAGACTTCATCTCCGCTTCCCTCTCGTGGACTCACCTTCAGATAGTAGAATCGAGTAACCATCATGGTTACGTGAGCTATTCCCATCCCAGTGAGATCGAAAACGTATCGAACACCGAACGTCTGTACGGACGGATGCGAGAGAGCTTCCAAGACTCCGAAGATGGAAACGTTCAGCATGTCCGATATGTCACCCTCATCGGTGTTGTAGTTCCTGAAAGGGATTTGATTGCTCTCAATTTGGTTCACCCTGCATGGGAGCTGGTATATTCAAGAGATGGATCGTTCAATGGCTCTCAACAGTTTTCGACTTTCACCTAAATGACCAGAACACGACGACGCAGCCGTCGATGGGATTGCGTGGCTTCAACATAGACACCAGCGGTCCGTCAAAAACATGCGGGTAGTCCTTCGGTCCTTTGCCAACTGGAGTTATGATATCGGGCTTGCACAGTCGTATCTGGTGGAACCTCTCGAAACAGAGCAGAGCCTTGTCGAGGTCGAACTTGCGGGTGCGGAGGAACATCAACAGGAATTCATCGTCGGTCTTCATGGAAACGTTGGATTCAGTGTCTGAGCAGGACTACCATATGAGATGGACTCCGCCGACTTTCGACTTAGATTTTTCACCACAGACCTGAGGTTTGAAATTTCGTTTCCCTTTCTGGTACTCCTGGATCATGCCTCGGAATTTGATGATAGCCTCAGCTCTATTCTCCGGATCATCATTCAACTCATCTTGAGCAACGTTTTCCCACGGCCACTCGTCGATGTCGAGGTTCTCGAGTATAGAATTCCTTGGCGCTATATCCCCAAGGGAAGAGTCTCCTTTCGCTACTCCTTTCGCTTTCAACTGCATTCTGGAATGAGCGAGCTGGTCCGTTTCTCCCACCGGTGACACATCTACCATTGACTCGAAGATAAGGCGACCGAGACGTACGCTCTTTGTCGGCAGTACGAAAAGAAAACTGACCTTTCGAGTTTTCCTGATTCACACTTCGACGTCTATCGCTCACTAGCCTACTACTAGAGTCGCGTGCTCTTGAACTCTCGGGGGCTCTATTTGACAGCGTCGAAACCTGCTCTTCGAATGCGCGGCATCAGCTGCTCTTGTTGTTGTGTTCGGGATGAGAGGATTCGCTGCCTCGTAGGAGAGGGGGCAATCGTCTTATTGTTCGGTGCGCCGTTCGAGAGTGTGTCGAGATACTCAAGACCAAGTATTCAACTTGAGGCCAAAACGGATTATCAAGCGTGAATTGCGCAGTCATCTTCGATGCATCCTTTCGTTCATCTCCAATCAATGCAGATGCCCGGCTGCCTGCTGGCGTTGCGCAGGTGCTACATGGATAGAGCATGAGACCGAATGAGATGCGAGAGTTTGAAAGGTGATTGATTCCGAGCTCCACTCCGACGTCATGTTCAGAGTTCGGGTGGAGACTGTGGCCAGAGGGTGGCGGAAGGAGCAGCGGAGACACCTACTTGCCACGAGCATTCCACCTGCGGATATTCTGCATTTTGTCGATGCCGAATACAAACAGCCGATCAGAAGCTCGGGTACATTTGGAGATCTCGCCAACAAGGAAAGGGGCAGAACTCAGAAGCCAGAACACTACACGGAGAAAGACGTGGAATCTTGAGATTCTCTCGATGTCAGGCCAGTAAGCATCCTTCCCCACTGTCGGACCCTGAGCCCGAAGAGTTAAGGCTGCCCCAGAACCCAGAACTGCTTTCGGATAGAAGCACGCCGTTACAGATAATGACCATCGGGGTTTTATTTGGTGAGGGGATTCGTCGTCATACGATCAGCGGTTTCGAATGAACAGAGGTGTCTACAGGAATATACAGTTTCTTCGAACATTTCCTTCAATGAGCTTCAGGTGATATAATAATTAAAACACGAATCACCTCAAATAGCTCATTTCGGCGTTTTTTGAGACAAGACAGAACGGAACCAGGAACAGATGAAACCTGTCTGCCACTCGACCTGGGTAGGAATCGGGGTATCGACCTCTTGGGGATGAGCTCTATGTACAAGTTGCTCACGAGTATATCACATCACGGAATTGGGGATAGCTAGCCCTCCACTGAACGCCTGCTGAGGAAATAAATGCTTTAGGCTTCAGTTCAACGGAGACCAAACCAAGGATATCTATTGGATCGGTCCGCAGATTTCAGAACTACCGGTCGAAATCGTGGAAGAGTAAGAATTGGTACAAGTTAGTGCTGTGCCTATCCTCGGGCGCTGAGCGGAATTGATGGGAGGCTGGTTTTTCGAACAAAGTATTTTATTTCGGAGTTCGGAATAAAACCAGCACCTTAACAGGCAGAAATTCCTGCCACCTTGGTACATCTGTTCACTGAACAGAACGATGATGGAGTGAGAAGCGCCAAGAGAAAAAGAATACAGATTCACTTTTCTAAGCTTGACGCGGTGATCGATGAATGTTGCTGTGATTTCTCCCCGTTTAATACAGATTGATGGATGATAGAGATTGAGGTAGCGACATACACTTTTTACACAAGGGCCGGGTCATCTACTCCGGATATGTACAAATTCGATCAATCCACATCTCGATCAGAGTTTCCGTGAGATCACATCCTAGAAAACCTTAGCCGATCCTAAACCAACCTCTTGAGTTTTTTGTGGCTGCTTTTCTGCCTTTTGAAAGGGGTGGGGGTTGACTTTTGTGAGGGGGGGAATGACCGCCATTCACTCCACTGCAGTTGCTTGAGGTGGACGACGCAGAGCTGACAATGGGTCCAGGTACTAGAGCTCCGTTTTCTTCGCCTTCACTGTGAGCAGGTTCGTAGTCGTGATCGACTCCGTCTTCACCTCCGCCATCAACCATTCCGGATACGGCCTAGAAAGTTCTCAACAAACTCAAGAACTCGCTTCCACTCACTCGGGAGCTTCTCGAGATGATCCGGTGGTCGGAAGCCCCGGCTGGGCTTCCAGGACAGCATGGAATTCGAGCGTCTGTCGTTCATCGTGAACTTACCGCGCCAGAGGTGATGGAAGACTTAGAGAACAATCGCTCGGCATCTTTGAACTTTCGGTTTCGCTTTTCCGACTTTGAATTGGTGCTTCGCTGTTGACCCAGATATCTATCCCAACCCCGGATAATGTTCCCGTACAGTTGCGTGTCTTCCAGGTAACTTCCCTCAAATGCATAGATTTGACGTTCTAGATTCGCCAATGTCTCCTGTCAAGGTTCGCTCGATTAGCAAGAAGGGGGTCCATCCAGCACGCAGCGACTGATCGCCATCAGGATGAGCTTCGCATGGAGAGAGCCCTGCAGCTTATATCGGACATATACGTTCCATATATCGTGTTTCCCACCCCACATAGGAGATGAGCTCGTCTAAAAAATATCTGGATGCGCGCCTTTCTAGCGACCGCAGCGCCGCTCTCAAAATGGCCGCCTGCTCGCTAAAGAAGTAGGCTTAGCTATCGCAAGGAGAAGCACGGATTTGTGGAGGAAATAGGTAACCCTAGGCAGTTTCCTCGCTCCCAAATCGACTAAGTGCGACGCCTAGCAAACACTTACCGCGATTTCAGCTTTCCTCTTCACGAGTTCAGCTAATTCAGCCCGCGAATCGGGAAGTGAGCTGAGTCTGTTCGCCATGCTGGAGGCTCCGATGCCACTGGCCGCCGAAAGGCGACCCGGGAGCCCATGAGATCCCGCCGAGTCACTCTCTGGAAACACCCGTGGATCGTCCGACAAAACTAGCAGGGATCGTCTCGCTTTTTCGGTCACCCGAATCTGGGAAATGTACAGCGAAACGATCCCGCGAACTCGAAACTACGCATTACACTCCGAAGCGAAAAATCGAGGCGCCAAATTTGAAACTGTTCACTTTATTGTCTCTTCTGAAGTCGCGGAAAAATCTTTCAATCTAAAGGAATGATCACTCACATAGCTTGTGTGCGTCCGATAATTTCAATGAGATCTTGTCGCCTAGCTACCAGTCGATGCGGTGCCGATTTAACATCGTTGCCAACCCTGACTGTGAAATCCGTAGTATCGAGATTCACGATCTGGGCCCGATACGTACAACGGGGTACCACCTGTTAAACAATCATCAGCAAACCCGACGCATTCGGTCCCTCCGACGTCCAGGAGACACCTTGTTCCTTGCACGTCCCAATGAGGTCAGTGCGCGGTGCCGCTGTCGAGCCCTGAGGCATTTCGGACAAGATGGTGGCAGATAAATCGAGCGTTCCGATGCAGAGCTCGCGTCAATGTTCACCAGTGCGTTTTTTCAATCCGACAGCTTCGCAGATATCTTTGACCCGCGTTGTGTCCTTCGGTTCCTCCTTCACTATGCGCCGAGCTTCCAGATCCTTTTTCAGGCTCTGGAATTCTTCCATGTCCTCCGTCTTCATCTCGATACGAGTCGGATTCCTTCGGAACATTTTTGTGATTGGAGCGTTCTGCAATCCTAGCTGACACTTGTTCACTAACCGGGTACGGGGGTAGGAATCAGCCGGAGCTGCCCCTGAGAATGTTTCAACGGGTAGCCGCGTCGCTGAAGGTAAAACGAGAACAACATAGAGGTGTCGTGGTCAGCCCACCCGCACGACGTACATAGCGGTGGTGGTGGCACTGTGGTAGCGACCAGATGATTGGGCGGGGCTTGAAGGACGCGCCGAAATTTAAAATCGATCATATGATCGTATCATATGGTCGTATAGGATACATGGAACGAAAATTCCAGAAACTTCCGTCTCGGGAATCGGATTAAACGTCTCCGCGAGATTGAACCTACATAATAACTATCTTGGACCTCTCACGCCTGGAAGCGATCTGAATTGGGATAGCTCCAGGAGCGTGGAGTTCCTCGTGGTGAAGTAAAGCTTGTCTCGTGCCGCATGTCCGGCTCCCGGCAGCATCCCCAATAGCCATAGGGGATCAGGAGCAAAACTCTTAGAAATCATCCCGACGAGTATGAACATTTCTTCCCGGGGCATCTCTGGAGCTGACCGTATACTCTCGGAATCGAGCCATCCAGCTGGAGATGCCAATTCAAGGAGGATTGCTTCCCCAGATCGCTCCGCCGGACTCAATAACCGCGGGCTCTACCATTCGAGGAGAACACGGAGCCGCATCGCAGACTCCGTTGAGAGAAAGGATTATACAAGAGCGGAATGGAGTTCTCGAGCTGATTGTCCTCGGGAATGAGTCCCTGCTCGATGGAAGATATACTTCTCCTCAGTACTCAGAGTAGACCGGAACGGAATGCCGGACCATCTTGGGCGTAGGTCACTTAGTCGAGACAGGGAGTGATCGGGAAGTCAGTGAACCAAGCGTCAGCTGTAGGATCAGAGGTACGGCCTTCCCCTGTTTATTCCGACAAGCAGAGCTCTTCTTTGTTTCGTCTCCGAAGTACCGACGACGACCAACCGGATATTCCCTCCATCCGGATGGTCCTTTTCCCGAGTTCGTAGGAAGCGTAGCAATGCATTGATTGTCAATGAGGAGCATTCAACACTCAACTCGATCATTATCTGTCGACTGCTCATTATTCCAGAAGCCTCGTCATGAATTTCTATGTTCGTCGGAATTCTCCAATTCCAACACCCCGTGGGATTTCAGAACGCGCGCCCTCGGTAATAGAACTCCCTGGTGAGGAGGATTCCTATCCATCGCGGATTGGAAGAGTGGATCGGAAGACTCATCTCCGGTTATCGATCCCGGAAAAACAGATAGGAGTCGCGTGTACGACCGTTCCCGTCTGAGAGTTCACGGCCGTTTTTGGGCGACACGTTCGCTGCTGATCCCGACGTAGCCTTGGCCGTCGGCGGACTCAAGTCGAAGCGGCTCTTGCGGTTCAACACTTACGGAAGGAGTCGAATCAAAGTGCTCCATGCGAAGAAATAGATATAGCACGGGAGCATATGAGCGGATCGAGAGCGAAGAACCCGATCTTGAGATTTTGAGATCATGACGCCCTCGCTTTCTATTTCGTTTTGGTAGATTGTTGTGAAATTTCGATTCTCCCATCCGTTTGGAGTTCCGCTCCTCATTCTGTACTCTCGTGAGAGCGATAGCTGCTCCGGGGACAGAGGCGTCGCTCACGGATCACCGGAAATCCAGCTCGAATGCAGTCTTCATAGGCTCGACGCACATCGGAGCAGTTATCGCCCGGTTGAGGAGCGTGATTGCACGAATTGTCCCTCTCAAGCACGATCACATACACGAACGTCTCAGTATCAGATGACGTGCATCTGCTTCGTTGAATATGAGTATTACCGTGGGCGCGAATCACCATCAGTGTTGCGATCGACGTCGTGACGAGCGGTTCAAGATGGCGAAAGTGTTTTTTGTCTTAGCGTGGCTCGTTATTCTGGCTGAGGCCGCCCCGGTGGCGGAAAAATCTCAACAGACTTTTTTGGAAGATGCGAGCTCGGTCGTCGATGGTCAGTATAAACCCCGGAACTTTGATTCTACCGCTTGATTATCGGAGATGGAGCTCTTTTGTTATCTCCAGCTCGGAGATTACGGGGTTGCGCTCCGCGGGTGGGGCTCTTCTCGAATCGATGCTCCCCGCTCTGAAATTCAAATATCCTCTTTCGGAGCTCGCGATCATTTCGTTGCACCATCGAGGAACTTACTTCATTCCGGTGCGAAATTTCCAGAGGACTTGAAGACCCTTGTCGCTCCCATAAAGAAAAAGGTTGACATATCGATTACGAAAGACATCGTCAAGAAGCCCTTGGTGGCGCCTCCGTTGCCCGCGGTTGTACCCCCTTTGCCCGCAGTTGTACCCCCGTTGCCCGCGGTTGTACCTGCGACCCCTGCGCCGCCTCATGCCCACGGACACCATCATCATGCAGCCCCAGCTCCCGCCAAATTGGTTCTAGATGACAGCCCAGTTCTGATCGGCAATGAAACGGTGACTGGACTCCTGCAGCAACTTCTCCTCGGCAACATCAAGAACGTGCAAGCCCACGGGCTACCGCTGAAGGTGCCCCCCGCCGGTCAGTAGGGATCTGCCACTCTCAACAAGGATCCGATTGCTTTTGCTTAAAAAATAACGTCACTATATGTGGGAAATTAATTTCCCTCTCGATCCCCAGGCAAACCGGTAGCTGTCATCTTCTCTTCTGCAATGCACGTCGTTGATCTGGGGACCCTGCAAGCCGCCGTGAAGACCCACCTCGTGACCGCAGCCGCTGCGCACAAGCATCCGCTTCACAAGCACCCCGCGCATCCGCCAATCAACCACACGTCGATCTTGGAGAGCATCCTGCAACCTCTAATCTCACTCGCTCACAAGAAAGGACACAGTGTTGCAACTGTTCCGGTTGCGGGTCAGATACAGCCCTACATCGTGATGCTACCCGTCGCAAAACCCGGCCTCCCGCCTCCCGCGGACCCCGCTGCTCAACTCGAGGGACTCATTCAGGGCCTGTTGAAAGCAAAAAAGCAAATTCTCGCGCATCAACATGCTCATCACGCTCTCGCAGCTACGACCGCTCCACCTCCGAAAGTTGTTTTGGATGCGGTCGCAGCTCCTCCGCCGGTTCCTGTCGTGCCGGTCCAGAAAGTCAAGAAAATTCACATCAGCCTGACAAAGAATGTCGGTTGAGGAAATCTTCATTGTCAAGCGTTTTAATTCCTAAGGACCTAAGATTGTTAATAAATTGTAATGGTGCGACGATTCGATGAACGGTGATCGAAAGAAAACTGAATAAACTTTCAGTTGAGATTTCTCACTTGACATGGCTAATTTTTCCTCCCGATGAATGAGAGGTCATCGTGTCGGAATTGAACGAGTTTTTGTGATTATGTCGCGTAAGAAGAAGAATTGTGAGTTGTCGGGGGCACTTTCCCATCACGCATTTGCAGCCCAATCGCGGGCAATCCGGACGAGTTAAAAACATCGGGGGAGTTTCGAAGAAATCCGTGGCTCGAACGTCTTCTTTGGTTCAGGAAAAGTCGTCCTCAGCGAGCGGAACTCGATCCCGGGACCTGTCTTCGCATCCATCAGTCAAAGCGGACGTCAAATTTCTCGCAATTCAAGAAAATCAAGTTGAGCCAGAACCGGATCTTCGAAATTTCTATGCAATGTTGTTTTCTGGGCCTTCGACCTCGAAAGTAGACTTCAGAGTCTGGAACGAGACGATCGTGGGATTGCCCGTTGAGTCCTCTGTACGTGATGTAGGCTTATCGCAGGAGTCCCCTTGGCCGGATCATTGGATGCACCGGCGAGCGCCGCGACATAAGGCTATCATTTTATCGAGACGACTGAGGCTCAAGTGAAATCATCGTTGGATCGGCTATCTCGCGTTGAAACCGTATTCCGTGTATATCGATCGGCACACAAATCATACATGACTCGGAAGGAGCCGTCATTGAGCCAATTATCGCTCTGTCTTGGTCGGAGAATGGACTAACATCTATGGAGCAAAGTACGTGATTTCGATGTCTTCGAGCTAATACACTGACTTCATTACTTAAATCTCCAGAATGTCGGAGGCAGCACGAAGTCCATTCGAGCAGTTCGGGAGCAAGGGGCCACCATGTCAGATCTCCATCGAGATTTTTCCTTGGTACGCCTGTGCTCTCAGTACATCCCTTCCACGCGTTGCATGAGAGAGAGAGAGAGGGTCTCTCATCACCGGTTCCTCCCCAGCTGAGGCTCCGCTGGTCCTGCCAACTCGACTCCTGTGAAGAGAAGCCTCGCTCATCCTTCCTCGCGGGGTGACTTCGCGGTGCACCGCTCAAAACATGACGAGTCTGGAAAGAACGATGCGAAAACGCTCGGATACGATGTCGGCCTCGATCCCCGATCTCTCGACTGTTCTGGAAACGGTGCGCGTTTCGTGAGTCTAGCCAGAAAAATCAAGCGCTCGGCTTGGCCAGAAACATCCCGGATAGGGAGCAATGTCCAAAATGAATGTCTCAAGGGAACGTACTCCGCGGAAAGAGCGTTGGACCTACGGAACGGGATCCTCGCTTCGCTTCATGCGATTCAGTGACGCGCCAGACGAGAGCGAGTCGGACCCGGGAAAATTGAGAATATCATCCAGTGCATTTCTGGGAGATCGTTGCGAATCCTCCTCGTAGAGCTCCGACGGAGCTGTCTCGGGCGGCGGTGCTTACGACTCTACCCGGTGTTCACGGCTCAGGAGTCACGGAAGCAAACGTGAGAAAATTCACATCGATTCTCGAAGGGAAGAGCTGTCAGACACGACGACTAGCTCTAATGCGAAGCTTCCCGATGACCTTCAAGCCGCGAGCCCCGTGGACGCCCTCCAATAGACTCCGACTCGAACCTGAGAACGAGGAACGAGTGCCAGAGAACCTCCCTATGTGCGGGATATTTGCGGGAGTTCGACCTTGGATTCTCCAATACACGGTCGCTCACCCACAGAGCGAATGTGGCGATGATGAAGGCATCTATGATTTAAACTCTGGTCTCCGGGCGATACTGCGATCTATGTGAAGGAGCTCCGAAGCATCCGCGGACGTGCAGTCCGGGAACCAGAGATTCGGTAATCAGACTCTCGCTGATGGAGCGAAACTGAGTCATTCGGTCCCAGATCAAGCATTATCGGAACATTATCAGCTGATAATGAAGTTGTAGAACGGGGAGCTTCCGCTGCTGACAATACCGGAGCCTGAGGGGCACTAGACACACAGCGCACAGCTCTCGGATTCCTGACGAAAAGGCAACTGAGCCGTGGTGGGGAAAGGCTAGACTCAAGAACAAATACACATAAAAATCACGCGTCACCCTTGGGCGATAGGCATTGCAAACGAGGTTTCATAACCCTTCTCAGAAGCGTGGGGTGACGCTCATCGGACTTGAATGTAGTCGGCAAAAACGCCGAATCGGATAAGTTTTCCTTTTTTCCATTGAATCCTGTGGCAGTCTTCAGCGTAATACGCCTGCTCGACTCTCTCCCGAAATCACCGTTCATCCCCGCCCGAATAAACGACTTTCGGTTTCACAGCTCATTGCCACTATGATCGATCTCATCGCAGAAGCACGGAATGAAGAAACTCGAGCTCTGACTCCCGTTGTCATCCTCATCGGGAATGGATTAGGAATTCAAGACTCCTGCAGGCATTTAACCAAAATCCATACCGCAATCCCGCCTCCCCCTCCGCGGGAAATTGATTGCTCAGCGACATTATGGTAATTAAGTCTAACGTGAGGCTTGGATACATCGACAACTTTTTTCCATTATTAATCGCTATGATTGCATTTTCTACATTCTGAAGACTCGGATCCGCTAATCGTATCCGGAAAAAGCGAATGAAATTCTATGGAGCTCTTCACAAGTATAAGCAATTCACATCCGATAGTTCAGGGCTGTTCGCGGGCGACTTGCTGTTTTGGCGTTCCCGGAGTAGACATCGATGATCTTGAACTTGCCTTGGCCGCCGACTGGCCAAAGTCAAACGAGCATTGTCGTACAGTCTACACCGAGGCCTCCGTCGCGGAAGACGATCGTACGAACTTCTAAGAGCGTTGGGATTGAGGAATCAAAAGGGCTCCTTTTCGGATCAAAGCCGGGAACGCTACAGCCATCGAGACAGAGAGGAATTATTCAGCAGATCGGAGTCTTTCATCTGCTTCTTCGCATAAACTTAGGCATAGGCAGGCGAACAAAAGCCCCATTCGTCGAAATGATTTCATGTGGCTCCATGAGTGGGTTATCCCCGTTTAAATGTATCTGGATCCGAAAGGATTGAAAGCATGCTCATCGCGCTCGCCGCAAGCGTCCCGCCCCGGATGCGGAACAAGACCGCGATCCTCTTGCGGCGAATTTCCTCCATCCCGTCCACATCGGGGAGTCTTGAGGGTCGGCCCGACAAGATGTGTCGGCGGAGATTCGATCGCCCAATCAAAAGTCTCCCTCATTATTTTCCGTCTGTCAGCGAGCGACCAGCAGCGGCGCGAGCCTTTTTGCAGTGATATAAGGAGCCGAATGGCGGGTCGTCGACGGAGCTCGACCAACATTCTCCTGTGTGTGTACACCGAACAACCACGATCCGTACGAGCTCGAATAGTGAGGCGGAGCCTCGGAAAAAGCACGGCACGAACCCGACCATATTGCTTGAGAGAACTTGAACTCAGCGAGCGGAACTCGACAACGAAACGCTTCTACAAGTGAGTGGAACTGCCATAATTCGCGCGTTCCAGCATCGTCGACTCAGGCTAGAGCCGGATGCCTCAATTCACAGGCCGATGCTTCCTTCTGGCTTCCGCAGCTCAAGAATCGAGGATGGAGTCCAGAGTCTCGAGGGAGGGAGGAACTGCCATCATCGGTGGCGTCCCGCTGTTTCAGGGAACCTTCCTTATTGACCCGATCTTCGAATGCACCGGCGAGTGTCGCGATATAGGTCTTTGAATGTATCGATATGGCTTGCAGAAAATTCTTGAAGATCCTTCAAGTGCTATGAGACAGGAGGAGATTGAGCCGTCGAGATTGGCGCCCTCCTATGGGACTAGTAGCTACATCCTGTACGTCGCTCGATGCAGGTTGCGACACAAACGAGCCAGTGTTCGACTACTAGTCGTATCGATCGTGAACTGAAGACTTAGTGATACGTTCCGAGAACAGATAATTCCTAGATCCGCATCTCAAGTCTCAAGTGCAGTGAAAATCACTCTCTTATCGCTCGTTTCACGCATTACATAAAACAGAGTTTGGAGCTTCATAACCCGAAATTTCTCGTGAGGAATGATGCGCTTCGCTGGTTACCAGCCAACTCAGCTGTGAAGAGAAGCCCCGTCTCTCTCTCGCTCAGTCTTCGCCGCGTCGCGTGGGACGTCAAATGCCCAGTAGGAGAGACGGTAGCACCGGAATCCGGCGCCTACTTCAGCGCTCAATTCATTAATTCTTCTGAAAGCGGTGGACGCTTTCTTTGTCTGACCAGAAAACTCCCCCACTCGGCTCGGCCAGAAACTTCGCTCCGAGCACGGAGTCATGTCCAAATTGTATTAAGAAGAAAATATATTTTCGTATTCCACAGAATGGAAGCTGTACTCCCAGGACGGAGTTGTTTTTCTTTCTTTAATCAGAGCGATCCGGAGTTTCGCCGAATGAGAGACCGCCGGCTGGGATGTATTCTGGAGCACACTTCGACGAGGTCGAGACGAATAAATTTTCCTCGTAAATAAACATGATTCCCAACAAAAGTCTCCCGGGAACCTTAGATCGCTCACTTGTGGAAAACATTCCCGTGGACTCTGAAGTAGCTCAGAAGTCATGATGGCAAACGAGAGACGATCCAACTCGATTTGTTTGATGAAAAAAAATGCCTTAGACCTCTACGAGGTCTGATGGCCTCTGATTCCTCCACAGAGGTCTAGCGATTCGGAATCCATCCCGAAAGGAGAAAACAGGGATTGCGAAGATTGAACTTCGTACCTTCTGGCCGTCGATAGAAGCTAAGGTTTGAGAAAAGCGTGCGCAGGAGATTGTTATCTCTCCTCTGTCGCCCAGCTCCCGTCGACTACAGGATTCTGCTACGTATCGGCGCAAGGCAGCGAGCGAAATACACTTCCAATAATTACGACTCGAAATGCAAAGTACGGGGCCGATTTATCGCGCAAATTATCATGGAGTGAAACTCGGTCCACCACGACGCGTACCCACTCGCCGTACGGAGCTTCTGTGATACCAGACGCGAAACAATGTTTCTTGGCCACCGGATCAGCCATGTTCAGAAGATTATCGTCACCGAAATAGTGAACTTG